ATGTTTCAACAACTTTGTGGGTGTGAATAAGAGTCATAATGCAGAATGGGCTTATTGAAGTAACTTTATTCATATATGATGACGATTAGGATGGTTGGCATATAAGAAAACTTGCAGGAGCCAGCAGCCACAGTGCCATCTCTTTGCTAGAAATTGTGTAATTGGAACTGACCGATTTTACGCAGTTCAGGGGCACTTATCCTGCAATATGTTCTACAGTCCCTGGTTAATTGATTCAATCTCATTTTGACAGAGTGGAGCGACTTGGACTTAATCTTACTTAACTTAGTTATGTGTCAAGCTGCATAGACCAAGTTAGATTGGGAGGACATCCGGATGCCACCTAGTCCAAATCCTTGTTCTAAGCATGGCCAAATTCTGAGCCAGATAAAATTTATATGGTTTTGAGGGAGAAGAGGAAAGGGGAAATAGCTTGTTTAGAACTGCCTTAATTTTGTGCTGTAACCACAAAGTTGCAAAATTAAAGATGAGTGCATTACTGCTTCCTACCTGAAACTGCTGGGGCTTTTATGATCTGCGTTGACTCACAGGTATGAAAGTTATACCTTGAGCATACCCATTAAAATTGGTATATCAGGTAACAGGGTTACAAAGATTCCAAGATTGTTAATATGCAATTGGATAAATTCTGAGAGAGGTACTGAAAGATTCAGAGTGGCCAATAAGAAGGTAACTTTGGCTCTGCACTGAGGTTGAAACTTAAAAGCCAGTAGAACCTTATCACTGAAAAGATAGGCATGGTGGTCTAAGTACAATTAGCTATGCAGCTATGAGTCTGCGTCCTACTGATTTGCAGACACCTATGTGACTAGGCAGTTGCTTTGAGAATCGGTCTGCTAAGCTCTGCAGTTGTCTTGCTTTATGAGTGCAATGCTTCTTACAGGTCAGTGCTTCACTTTCTATGTTACACTGGAGATCCTCATGCTTTTGTGGAATGAGGATGGTAGCATTACTGTCAGACAGGTATATGATAAGGTTAAAACTGTCAGTATGCTTGCATAAAATTATAAGGTATGCTACAGTTATATAAGGGTATATAAACACACCTACACTGTGGTAGGTGTCAGGGTATTCCCAGATGATTGTTAATCTTATGTTTTCCAGATATGTTACGAAGTGTCTGTCCAGTAAATAGCAGCTGGTAGTGACTAAATGACAGTATATATGTATATACAATCAGACAGATAGATACATATTTCTTTTCAGGAAGCGTATTGTTCAATATCACATATTTCTAAGGGGAATAAATTGTTTGAAACAGCTGGGTTTGCTAAGTGCAAAATGCATAAAATGTGCAGGATAGTGCACTTAGTTCCTGATAAAAATGGAAGAATTGTGTGATAGAGAGTGAGCAGAAGACTCATTTTAACCCCAAAGGGACTGGGAATAGGACAGAGGTACAAAAGCAGAGGGGAAAACATATATTTAAAATATTTTAAAGCATCAAAATGCAGTAGAATGCATACACAGTTTTGCTTCTTGGAAGTTTGCTACCTCTTATTTATGTTAACTATACTGCTTGGTGCACTGCTGAAGCCACTAGGACACCACAATTAGCTGAGAAATGGAGAATAGCATAAACAATAATCTGGCTTTCTAGCAAGTTAAGACTCCAAGTAAATTTAGTTTATTATAGCCTGTAAATTAATGTTCTGTAAAGGGAGAAAACCTTTTATTATTAATAGTGGTCAACTTGTCCACAGGTGTTTTCAGAGAAAAAAAATCCCCCATACATAACTGTTCGTTCAGATGTAATGCACTAATCACTATGGTACAACTGTGATTATATCTGGAATTAATCTTTAAAATACAGCGACAATGTTATAATATTTTTATTTTAGTCTGTTTTTTAACAAGGAAATAGATACAGTTAAATACAGTGTTGTATTTGTTTGGAGAAAAAAAAAAAAAAAAGGTTTACTTTTCATTTGTTTATAAGCACAACCAGAAAAGCTAATTTTAATTTGGTAATTCTTATTTTATGGATGGAAGTAGAAAATACTCTTAGTGCAAGAAGCAGATGTCTTTTCTTTCTTTCTTTCTTTGAAGCTTTATGTTCTTTGAATTCCCTTTCCCTTTGGCACAAATTTGCTTAACCCTTTTTTCAAGGGCAATTATAGTAATGAAGACCTGCAACACTTATTGCAGAATTAGAACAGCCAAGCAGGAAAGGGTGAGTCAGAATGAATTAAAATTATTTCATAGAGCACACACAAAGCCTTTGTGTCCTAAAGAATGGCTGAGTAAATAGTGGATATTTGCTTGTTGAATAAAAAATAACACCAAACATCTTTGCTCTCTGTCTCCCTAACGTTCTCAGTATCAAGTACTAGGATATACCCAGCTTCAATGTATAGTTTTGAGAGTTCAAAGATCCTCTGTATTTTACTAGTTAGTTTGGGTTTTCAGTGGTTTACAATTCAACAGCTAAAAATTACTGTCATATTTTGCAAGTAGATTTTTTTCCGTAGCAAAGATTTTATCCTCCTCACTTTCCCTTCCCATTGTTAGAGACCCGAGTTCAAGTCCTGAGGTCATTTGCTGGATTCTGGCACTAGTCATGGCCAAAGATAAACGCTCCATGGCTAAAGTCTTTATTTTGCACTCTACAGATTCCTGGTTGTTTACTGTGGAATTGGAGGTGCTCCTGAACAGCCTCCAAATGGCTGAGAGAAGGACTCCTGTGGTCCTCAAGTAGGGATGGGAAGGAAGGACTGAAAGATGTTACTGAGCAAGCCCAACTTTTGTTAACCTGTTTTTGTTAAATATAGATGCGAGTAAATTGGGAACTGGAATTTAAGATAGTTTTGTTCACAAGGGAAAAAAAAATCAAATTATTAACCCTACAAATATTTAGAGATTATTAGTTCCATGGTTTTTCTTTTAAGATGGGAGTATTTTATCCTAGTCTGTCACAGCTGACATGTACTGCAAACTTGAAGATCCATGAAAGCCTCAAATCATCTATGTTAAGGTCACTAATGAGTGATTAATATAAGTATTCAGGCTATAGTGAAATCCTATGTAGTTTTGAAAATATTTTCTGTAAGAATCTGACCCTAAAGCTAAGTCATAAAATAACAGTTCTGTTAACAGCTCATTTTAACCTGCTCTGGTAAAGAAGTTTCTTAACACAAGCATTAAGTCTTCTGAGATCTGTGTGCATATATCTGAGATAATGCAGTTTTAAAATATTGTATATGACATGACTACGTGGCAATAAAAAGTAATTATTATGCATTCACACATACCACATATAGTTTATAAATCTGTTGGGAAGGAATTTTTCCAATTTTCATTCACATGCATGTATAGAAAATTTTTTTTCCCCGAAAGCCATCAAAAATAAGAAAATTCCAACACTGCTACATAAGCAAGATGCTATGTGAAGTTTATTATTAGTCATTGTTTCCTGAGTGTTGATAAACATTCTATGCACCAAGTCTTCTACTACATCTCTGAGGGAAATAATATACAGTTCTGAATATTGCTGAAGTCTTTTATGGGAAATGTATTGTAATATACAATTACAATTTGCTATGGGTGAAATTGTGTGACCCCATTTTTTGCATTATCACTTTCTCAGTTCATAATTATAAATATGGACTGTAATGATACCATCACGCATGCACGAATTACCTGGAATTCATTCTGTATCTTTTCATCGTAGAATATACAACTTAAATGCAAAAGCAGTGCATTTTGATATAACATTTCTTCTTGTCAGACATGAACAATCATTCATTCTCGCATTTTTTGCCACATTTTCAAAATTTCATTAATGATTAAGTGACAGAATTTACATGGAATTAAAGAGTAAAATCAAAGAGCAACAGAATAAAAATCTAGTGTTAACTGATACATTACATATTACCAATTTTTTCAGTACTGTAATTGTCCACGAAAGAAGATTTACATAATTTCAGTGAGATACAAGAACTGTGTTCGTTATTTTTTAAAGGAAATCTGTGCAAAGAAATGCAAGGCCAAAAAAATAAAGTTGTGTAAATAAAACTCCAAGTAATATTGATAGCAAACTATGTTCCACACCATCTCTTTAGCAAATATCTAAATACCATTGAGGATATTTCTCTTTTATAATTTTACATTCTTTGTGTTTAATTAACATGCCTGAGATTGACATAAAATAGGTCATTGACTTGGGCCAGCATAAAGCAGTTGTAGCATTGGCTTTTAATTCAGTTATATAAATATCAAAGCATAGATGGAAAAGTTAGCAAGAAACCTCCCCCCAAATGAAACAAGTTCTCCAGATTTCTAAATCTATTAAATATGGAACTGAACAGGGAAAAATCACATTGCCATTTTTTCTTTTTTATTATTGAAGAAGCTTTAAGATTGTTGTGAACATTTTAATGTTTTTAAAAGGAGCAGTAGTTAGCTGTTGTACTAGGTACAGAGGAATTGTCTGTATTTCTGTTTTCTTGCAAATAAATTTACAATTATTATTACAGTAATCCTTACTAGTATTGCCATTTTTTAGTAAATTTGCCAGTATGGTTTATTCCTCCAGAATTTGTATATCTAAAAGTTTTTTAAGTTGTTTCTGACAATAGCTAATGAATACAAAGATATACTTTATTACTTGCTCTTCATTTCAAGGATGACAAACCATCTTTAACAATGTCAGCAGATGTTCTTTCAACTACTTTGTTTCCCTTCTATATAATTGTTTTTGACATGATATTTTTTTGTAACAGAACATATGCGGGTAAATTGAAACTAAATGTCATCTCTTACAGATATTGTAAAGCCTGGGAAACTCACATAAGAAATCTTGTCAGTGCTTCATTTTCCAACTTTATAGCACTGTCAGTAACTGTACTGTCTCTAGCTGAATTGTCAAAACACCAAATTCCAAATAAAGAATTCTGTAATGTGACTATATCCTGATATTTCAATTTTTTTTTCAACATATGCAATGTAAATTCATATGAACCTTTAATATATGAACTTACCTCTGCTTCCCTGAACTTGGAGAGCAAGGCAAATAATCAAAAATATTAATCCAGTTTTCAGATGCATGCTGTCTATTGATCATTCACAATTTTCAAGATCAATCATGGAGGAAATAAGAATATTTAGGATTAAGTAGAAGAATTTTGTTTCCTTAAAGAACTAAAATCCTCAAATGTCTTCTCTTTTATTATTTTTCAGGTATTCCCAGCCTTGGACTGCATTGACTTGCGACTAGGCGAAGAGTGAAAGCAGGTGCCAGAATGTAAAAGCTGGACAAACCCCTCCAATGCACACACTTCTAGCCTGGGGGACTGGAGTGGTAAAACAAGAGTGACGAAGTTTTAAAAACAAGCAGTGTCTGTTTCTGGAATAATCTGTTTATCTGCTGCTCAGACATAATCCCTCTTATGGTCCAGCTGGAAGAGCTTTCTTCATCTTATTAACCTTCTGGAGCAGCATCTGTCAACCCCAGAAGACTTCAGCAGCACCATGATAAACAACGAAAGTCTCTTCTAGTGCCCATTGCCTTTGAACATCAAACCTTTGGGCATTCCGGAGATACGGCATGTGAGCAGAGGCGAAATCATGGGGAGAGCTAATTGTGCTATTTTCAAACCAGTGATCATAAAACCCAGAGAACTTCATATGAAGAGGAAGACAGCTTTTTCTAAAAGAACATAATATACTCAGCTTTTCCACTGCATATGTCTTGGAAACCTCTCTTCCTTCTCATACCAAAAGGTTGTTGCAATATTCCCATCAGAGGAATTAGTGATGATGATGCTCTGTGACAGTGGTGAAATGATGTGACTCAGCAGTAAATTGCATCAGTGTTCAGGGCTGGCACAGTCTGATGCCAAACTGACAGTGGGGGAAGGAAGGTGCTGCATGAAGGGAAAATAAGAAACAGTGGTGGGAAATGGTGGTTCAAGCACATAGCTACAACCAGGCCAAGAATTGGCAATGAGTGAATACAGTTTTCAAACAGCTCTGTTCCAGTTTCATAAATAACTATTCCAGTTACATATTTGGCATATATAAATGTTCCATACTTTATATTTTCCAGAACATTTTTTACTGTTGCATTACACCTAAAAAGCTACCAGGTGGGCATTTGTAACGGTCTATCCCCCTTAGAGATTTTTGTGCAACTGTGCTTTAATATAGGAAGCATCTAGACTGGCAGCAAGAATCTATAAGTACAAATTACTTAAGAACAGCCTTCATTTGAACCCAAACAACATTCTATTTTTACTTAGGATTTAAGCAATGGTAACCTCCTTTCTTTCCCAAGGTTGCCTAATTTTAACTACTCAGACCAGCTAGTACAGACATTGGGCCGGAACCAATCAAGATCTGCCTTTTTTTATTTTCACAGTCTTTTTCTGATTTTCAGTGCTCATTTTAATGCTTAATTGTTTCATGCACATTGTTTTATTGTTATAACAATAAATCAAGAATACCTTGCCAGCAGAACAATGAAAAGCAAGAGTGGAGATGATCAGAATTTCTACTGGAGAAAATTTGAGTGTTACATACATATAATTCTTTAGCAGTGCCAATATTTGTCTTTAAATATTTTATATATCATAATCATATGCTATATAGTCTAGTCATATAAGTACTAGCTCTGTGAAGCAGGTAAGTTTTAGTAAACATTTATAAGCATGTTGTAGTTGAAAGATGAACTTCCCTCAATATGTTATTTTCAGTTGTTTCAGGTCTCAGTCTGCAATAACTGGAATTGTAGGGAATTTTTCAAAGGGTGGTGGAATCTGCTGTTTGTGGTGACATCTGAAAGTGTGGGATTGGCAAAAGTCGTATCATTTCCTCAGAGCACCCTAGGTACTAAACTCCCTATGGAATTTGGTAGGAATGTGATCCTTTAATTCCATTAGGAATCTAATTTAAGGATCAGGCTACGTGTTGAAAATGTGAAATAAAGTGATTTACTTAATTACTTTGCAGAGACTTGTTAGTGAAGCCTGAGCCAGAAACCAGAAATCCTTTATCAAAGCTTTCATTTAAAGTGTATTTTTGAGCTCTTCACATGTTGGAGAAGATGAACATTTAATAAAACGTACTTCTGTCTTTCAGAGATAAAGGAACAGGAACAATCCTACAACAAACCACAATTGTTTAGTGTCAAGGTATGACTTAAGGAAAATACTGAGCTCCATAGGCAAACTGTGACTAAAAATTTGTAGGGCATGAGTCTGCATACTTTGAGATGATGTTTAAATCATAAATATTTCAAACTGTTTCTTGTTAAGTTAGTGCCTTCTATGTGTTTCCATTTAATTAAGAAATTTTGTAACTAACCTTGATAACTGCCACAGTGGAAGCAAACAAGAATGATAAACACTCATTAAAGCCAAAGCAATATTATCTAGGGACCACTCCATCTCTAAGTACTGTAATGTTTAATTACAGGTCACTGTTAATTAATCTAGAAGTATTTCTTCTAGTTGGTTTACTGTCAACAATAATTATATATTGTTAAAGAGGTGATTAAAAAAAATTTACTGAAATTCAACAGTGCATTACAAATATACTACCAAGACATGGGAAGGGCAAAACTGTATGCTAAAATATCCATTTGCCTGGGATAAGTGCTTGTAAATCATGTAAATCAGACCTGGTAATGGTCACCTCAGTGTATCACTGCACATATCTAGAATAATACAGTGATGTGCTGTTTAAATACACTAACGCTGTTTCCTTTGCTTGCAGAGAAATGACAGTTTAGGGAGGACATCAAGGACTGTGTTTAGAAGACTTTTGATGTAAATTTTTGGTAAGTCTGGGGCTCAAGGCATTGTCATATAAAGATGGTCTAAAAGTTGTTATGCATAGTGCTGAATTTTAGGTACCCTATGTAGATATGTAAATCAGGGTGCCAGCCAACTCATGTTACCCATGAAAGCAAGTCAGATTCTATAAATCAGAATCAGAGTCTATATCAACTAAGTTTGACTTCTGGTTTTAGTTGTCCTGAGTAATTTCTCCTACTGGTTTAACCAACTGTTTTTCTTATAATTTCCATTCTCCATTTATCTGAGATACCTGTCCCACCCTGAGGAAGGGGAGATACGTAATTATGACATACATTTTAAATAACCTCAAATCTTTCTCTGGTATTCATTATTTCCATAGGAGACAGGTTGGTACCTGGCAGGCAGCACTCAGGCACAGCTTTAGGCTTTTGATTAAAAGTGAGGAAACCTGGCTTCTGCTCCTTTCTTTGCTGTTGAGTTTGGCCAAACCAGAGGTCTCTCAGCCTCCATATCTGCAAATGGAGGGGATTGACCCTGAGAGAGAGGTAGAAAAGCCTCTGTCGGAACAAATACGATAATACATGTAAGCAAGAATGGCTTTCTTCCGTCTTTCTCATGCATTCAAATGTAGATAAAATATTTCACTCTAGAAATTTAATTAATTTAAAAAATTTAAAATAATATTTTATTTTTAGGTGTTCTGCTTCGCATGTAAAAGTTAAACATGAGCAGTAGTCCTATAGTGGATTTAAAGAGTCAGTAATGAAGAACACAAATTGCCTTTCTGCTCTTTGAGCTTTTCCAGTTGGGCAGTATTTGTATTTTGCTCTCTACTGCTGCCCAGCCACCATGGTTTCTTTTTCTTACAGAAGTAATACAAGATTTATATTTAGTAAATTAAATAAAAAATAAAAATAAACACACATCTCTCAGGACAGTTAGAAAATACCTATGTGTTTTTTACTGGTTTTGTTTACATTTCATAGACAATTCATCTTTCTGGTGCCTCTCCTTAGTAGCAGGGAATAAATATGATCACATCAGGGGAAGTCAGTGACCCAGGAGTGAAAAAGAAACTCAGAGATTAAGATTCTGAGTTGCTGACAGTGTAACTGAGTGTTTAAATCGGCCTCCATACCAAAGGAAAGTGTTTCCAGACAGCTTTTGATACAAATCTGGAGAACTGTACTTCAGCAAGTCTAACTTCTGTACTAGGCAAATTGATAGAAACCATAATAAAAGAAATAAGCACAATAACAAGAATGATCTGGCTGATACAGTAACCTTGGACAGCCAGAAGCTTTTCATGAGGTCTGCTCTTAAAGAAACTAAGCTGTCATGGAGTAAAAAGAAAAATCTTCTGTATTAATAGCTTGTTAAAAGATGAGAAATAAGGGAAAGGAATAAGCATTTCAAAGGCTAGGTGTTACCATTAGGTTTTATTCTAGAAGAAAGGGCAAATGATAAGGTTGCAGAATTGCTCAGAATCTTTAAGATTTACACTAATAATGAAAAAATGCAGACCTGTGTCCTGCTGCTGATGGTGGAAAACAAAGCTGCAGATAAAATATATCCATGGGGAAAAAAATCAATGAACAGATGATTATATGCTCTGAAATTAGGAATAGCCATTTGGCAAGGAGAGTTCAAAAGAATAATTTTCTGATAATGGCAGCTCAATCTTTAGCCGTGATCAAAAGGAGAAATAGAATATTAGTGATTTATTAGAAAGGAAAACAATTTATTATTTTTTTAAAATAAAATGGTATATCATGCATATTTGATGATGCTCTTGTCCTGTAATAGCAATAATACCTAGTAAAACTAGAAATGTTAATGGGATGTTGACGAAGATTATCAGAAGAATTGAATGGTTTTTATATAAAAAAATTTTACACAGTCTAGGAGTCTTTGACCTGAAAGAGAGATGACAGAAAAGTTGAGGAAATGATTAAATTACTTATTTTTTATTATGAGAACAGGAAAATACGCAATTTAATTTTCAGGCATCTGTTGTCTACCTTCTTCTTGAACCTTTTATATTTTTGGTCTCTGCAGCTTTCTGGGACAATAAATTTTCCAATTTAATTATGCATTTTATGAATATCTACTTCTTTTATATAAGAATAAGAAGGAATTTGACAAAACCATGAGCATTAGGCTCAGCAAGGAATGTGATACACATGCTGTTCCAATTTCAGCCTCTTGCACAAAGTTTGTAAATAATTGTCAAACACTGTGAGGGCAAGCTAGGAACTGGATCATTTTTGCTTGCCTGTTCTTTATATTATTTCCCTATAAATTTATTGGCCTTAAATGTAGATAAATTAGTAGATTAAATGGGTCTTTGATCTGATCCGACATGACTACTGTTAGGCACTGAACTGTAGTCCCTAACTCAGATTAAGCTGCCACTGAGGTCAAGTTTACCCAGTAGTTGTAACAACACCTGCTCATACTGAATGGTACAGCAAACTCATCCTTTTCTCCTCCAAAACAAGGAGCCTGGTGCTGTGTTCTGCACTTGCAGCAAACATTGTGGAATTCTAGTCGGAACACAAAATTGATACATTATTTCTGTTTTTGTCTCCTTTCATGAACATAAGCATAGACCTCTTATGTAGTCAAAAGATATCTCCAAGATTCTCTGAGGTCTTTAAAAAGCTTTTCTGCTTTGTTGTTACTGACACAGTTATAAAGTCCTAGCACTCATTATTTAGAGTGGGAAAAAATACTGTGTGCATACATTTATCAAGGACTCTGATAACACGTAGTTCCAGCAAAAATAAATATCCAAATTTAATTCCAATATTTTCTTAATAAAAAATAGGAAAATTGGAAGAGGTATTGTTAAGGTTGCATTTAACTAGGCCTGGCAAGTCTTGTAGAATTATTTAAGTAATTTAAACACTTCTGTTATCTATATTATTGGTGGTTTTGCTTCACTCACTTTCAAAAATAAACCTAGTGTTTGAA